CCAGAATTCCTCAGCCAGCAAAGCTTTGCTGGCTGAGGAATTCTGGGAGTTGAAGTCCACAAGTCTTAAAGTTGCCAAGGTTGGACACCCCTGTGTTAGAGGCTATAAACTACTTTAAATTTAATTCCAAGGTAGTGTTTTAGAGGGCAAGGTGGTTCTCCTAAAGCCGCAGAACTGCTTTCCAGAACATATGATTCCCAGGAACAGTTGCAGCTGCTTTAAAGGACCTTCATGAAACCAAACCCAAAGCAGTAATTTGGGTCTAAAAATGGTCCAGATCCGACAGCGGAGAAGCATTTCTTCAACATCCTAATGGAAGGGGCATCGAAATGTAGCCACTGTCTTTCCTTTGCTCAGCCCAAGCAGCAGCCCTGAGAGACCCCGAATGAACAGCCCGGGAGGGGGGGGGGCGGAGGGAGCTGCTGAGACGCTGCTGGCATCTTTCTAAAACCCCGCGGGCCCACGGATACCCACACCCTCCGGACCCTGCTGCGCTCCCACGCACAGCTGGAGAGGATGCCCTGCTGTCCGCAGGCCCAGAGGGCGGCGCGCCGCGAAGCCACCCGTCTTACTTGCCCTAACGGATCTCTTGTTTCTGCCCCCCGCGGCAACTACGTCTCCGCCTCGCGCCCTCGGGCTGTCTTCAAATTTTGCGCGCTTCCGAGCGGAGTCTCCGAGAAAATCTCGCGAGAGGTTGGAGATTCCGGACGTTAATAGCTGCCTCCGACTCTTGAAAAGTGCGCACGCGTGCTCGGACGCCCGCGGTTGGCGGAAGGTTGACTGCGTGGTTGAAAATATGTTATTATTTCTGCGTTCTTAAAATCATTCTTCCTCTACTATTATGGCAAAGGCCCTCGGCGGGAATCTGTTGGCCGGGCTGTGAACTGCACCATTGTGATTCCAATTAAAATGTTCTAATTCGTTCATTTTCAGGATAAGTTTGTAAAGCTTCGTTAAGGAAGGCTTCGGCGGCGATTATGCATTATTTTATGGCAGAAAATGCCTAAAGGCAGATAATTTCTCTTCCCCAAACCCCAAAAACTTTAACCTTAGACTGTCTACTATTGACCTCACCCCTTTCCTAAGAGGTCTGTAGGGGGCGTGCATAAGCGCACCAACGTGCCTACCGTCCCTGTCCTATTGTTTCTCTTATTCTTTTATTTTTCTTATATGTACCCATTTCATATATTCACAACTATGTATACACTTGTACTTATTATCTTGTAAACAATTGACAAATCAAATAAATAAATAAATAAATAAAATAAATAAATTTCAGCATTGCCGGATGGATTGAATTGATTCACTTCAAATTTGAAAAAGTACGAGACAATCTATGTCCAGCTGCTTTGTTATCGAGGATGTTGCAAATAAATAAATACTTAATGAACACCATTAACAAAACAAAAGATGTTTTTGTCATCATGTCCTGCTAAACTAATAAAGTAAAAAGTAACTTTTACACACATCACTTCTGCAACATTTCCAACATACTGTATAACGAAATTGTTCCCATAACAGCTTGGTTCTTATGCATCTCTCAATTGCTGTATTTCTGAAATTTCTGGATTAATACTATAGTTTACTTCACTTCAAAACAGATTTTTCTCAATTCTCATCTTTCAAGCAAATATTTCAATTTGTATGCAAACATGCTACAGCCATACCATTATTCTCTAGTGAAATAATTAGGAATGAAAGCAAGGCACATTTAAAAGATGGGATTTTTTAAATTTTAATTTTTTTTTTCTTTACAATTTTTTAAATTTAATTTTAAATTCAAACTTTTTAACTTTTCTTTTTTAAAAAACATACATTTTTTAATTTTTAGGAAAAAAAATCCACTGAAAAAGAGACTGATGTGACTTGCAAAATATGTTTGAGCTTAATGCCCTGATTACTTAAGTACCAAATGTAAATTAAATTTACATTTAAATTTAGAACAAAAAGTACAGGTAATCCCCAGGGTATGAGTGTTCCCTTAGTGAATGTTCAAAGTTACGCAATAGGCACTCTAACAAATAAGTCCCGAAATTACGAATCTTGCTGCACCACAGCAGTTGTTCGCCATTACGAACAACTGTTACGAACAACTGCAGAGGCTCTGCAACATTTGTCTTGCATTTTGCTGGCCAAAATGGTGGGGCAGCATCTGCCCCTCCATCATTCCATTCATCTTTGACTAGAACCATTCTCTCCACTGCACTATGTGCCTATGTTTTAGACCAAAGTTAAGAGCTCATCTGTGACTGATAATAAAAGCATTCCACTTCTAGATGCAATATGCATTTTCTAAAGTATACATTATAGCAAACTACAAAGCAAATTAACTATTTTTGAGTTGTCAGTCTTATTTACTAATAACTGGGAAAAGTAGCCAATTAACTTTAAATACAGTGTATATGCTGCTATTAGTATTTCAAAGTGCCAAATAGTTTAAGACTGGAAAATATTTAAGCACAACCTCCTCATGTCTATTTGTCTGGCTTAATTTTTCTATTTTGTTGGTTTTTTATAAAGTAAGTTGCCCAGAATCAGTATCTTACCTATATGTAAATCAGATTACATATAATGGGGCCTTTACACTGATGAATTCCTAGCTCTGAAAAATTCTAAAGTTACTAATTGAAGTGATGTAATTTTAGTAGTTATATTTATGTTTCCTAGACCATTAAAATAGTTTTGTTCTTCATAAGTATCTTTGTAAGTTGCAGGCTTAAATACACAAGTCTTGATGTTACTGATATAGTTATAGCCTGATATAGCCTCTTGAAACACTTATTCATTACGTTTTGCTTCTCATCCAAGAAGCTTCTTCAGCCCTGACTGGATGTACTTCTTGCAGATAACTGGTCATTTGCATTCTTTTAGAGAGCTGTTGAGGTTTATGTGTTTTGTCAGGGTCACCTGAGTGGTGCGTGTGGAGCCTTCTTGGAACAATAAAATAAATTGTGGCACTTAAACACAAACAATTAAGTGCCAACTATTAGAGTATTAAAGTACTTTTAAGAGGAAGAAAACTAAGAACAATTTTTTAAAATGCCAACTCTTATTATCACTATGCAATATGTAAATAACTTGTTAGGGAAACAAAATTCTCATAAGTGGTCTGTAAAAAAGTAACAACTGTATTTGTATATATAAAGTTAATTTATCACACAAAAATAAAAACTACTTTCACCAGATATTCATTTGTAACTTCATTAAAATAAAGCTAAACATTAATTTGTCCGTGTGCATTTTTTAATTTATTTAAAATACAGCTGTTCAGCTCAAAAACTGGATTCAAAAAGTAATTTTTGCTTTGTATTAAAACAATTCAGATCATGACATATTTCTCATAGGTATTTTTTACACTGTTCCACAAGAATGTTTACGCACAGAACCAGAAGCTGAAACTATGCAAGAATATTAAAAAGCACCATGATTCCAAAAGATAAAGTTAATGGTAGCACTTGATTTACAGAAGTAAAATTATGTTGGAAGTTCATGGGATAGACTGTTCTTGCTCCTTAGAATATCTCCAAAGTCAGAGAGAGACAATGTTCAGTTTGCAGGTGATAGAATAAAAGAAATAATACTTTCCGATCCATGCAATGATAGCTGTAGCCTCATTTAGTTAGGTTCCTTAGTATCCATTTTTACAAAAATAAACATTTTTTCAATACAAAATGTACAACTTTATTCTGGCATTTCAATTATGCTTCTTTTTCATATTTGCTTGAGAGGTGCAGGAATATTGGCTGAAGCTTGTTCTAGATAAGCTAGAGGTCCCTGAGGCATCTCAGTAGGTTTCTTCTGCTGGATATTAATATCGTCTAAAACTTGTTGCCAATGGCGAAGTTTTCCCAAGTGTTTCTGAATTAGAGTTTCTTTCCGCTGCAATTCATTTCTCAGTTCTGAAACATCCTACATGAAACAGAAGCATACAGGAAAGAAACTATGAATGTCTCCTTGGAAAAACATTTGTATTTGAACAAAAACAACTACAAAACCTTAGCAAAACAAGTATCCTGATGTGTTTCAATAAACTAACAGCTGCTTCCTTTCCTCAAACCATTAATTCCTTATGATGAATTTCTACCTCA